GTTGTTGGAAGCTTTCTAAAGAGCTTCATGACGCCGAAGGACCGCAGATCATTCAAGACTGTACATCAGCACTTCGAATGCAGTTGTTCTCAGAATATTAATCTTCGCGCCCGTTATTATAGTTTCATTCTGTCATATCTCATACAGCTTGCCAAGAATTGCTTATGCCAGTTCAATGCACCCATTCACTTAGAGACTTAATATCACTATCGTTAGTCAACACGGATCCGAGGTACATTAAGCGGTCAACCTCGTCCGTCACAGCCATGGCATCCACGGGCTGATGGAGACCATGAACGCCCTCTTGGCGTTCACCTGTAGCCTCACTTCTTCAGCGGAGTCGCATGCAAAAGTTCATTAGAAATATAGCGGGAGTATATCAAGCGGCGTGCTTAACTAGGTCAGTTCCTCATTGTAAATTTGGGCGACATTCATAAACGGTGAATTTTGCGATTGTTCAGTCCTTGACAGACAAAACTCCCGTGAAATATTTTAAATGTTCAACGGTCGATGAAATTATGATGGTTATTTTCTGTTGATCGCCCCATACTGTATTTTTTTTAAAAAAATCTTTACGTCGTTGCGACGTATGTTGTGTGAAACACTGCAATTTTCCGTGTGTCATTCTTCCTCAAAACCATCAATTAAGTTATCTCTATCCAACAAGAATTTAGCTAAAGGTGCAACGAAACCCGTCAATATCCCGTTGCTGCTTCATTATCCGTTGTTCCACGATTCACGGAACTCCAATAATAGCTAGAAGGTTAGCAGTCTAGGCTTTATGGAATCGTGCCCCGGTATACGTACTGTAGTTTGGTAAATGTCTGCCGTCCCCATAAAGGTCATCGATGACTGAATCCTAGAATATACTGTATTGGCAGTACTGTGAGCTAAATTCCATTTTAATTAGATGATTGATTTATTCAATCGAAAAGAATAAAAGTTTGTCTCTTGTTCGCTCGTATATTTTGAATATACTCGTTCGGTCCGTTTGCTGAAGCAAAGTCGAACGCAGCCAAGCGCGTTCACAGGTTGCCATAATGATAACGGATTCGTGGCCATGTCCAGAAAACGTCATAACAGTACGGACATGCATGCAATGTTGGATAAGTAGAGCACGAAAAAGCCGGAAGGACTGTTGCTTTATGTGATGCTCGTACTGAGGAGTTGGACTCTCAGCCGTGATCGCTTAAGCGAGCATGTTTTCTGCAGTGTCTTCATCTGCGTTCTTTTTTTGTCAATCTCGGTTCAACCAGAGCAGTTAAACCTGAGAAAAACGAATATTCTGAAACCCTATCCAACGAAGGACGCAGATTAAAACGGAAAATAATAAGATTTCTCTAGCACGTTCATCATATAATATAAGCTAGCAGAGAGTTTTTCCTTCGTCTATCTATCTAAGTCCTATACATAAGAAATGTGACTAATATCATAAGCAAACGTATCCATGAATACACTACAAATTACGGGTCGTTCTCCAGATGGGAGCAACTTTTCCAGAATCGACCAAATTCAAAGGTGCGTTGCCACCTTTAAATGTAAAATCCTTAAAAATTTTGTTTCCAGAGTTCACATTGATCCTCATTGAATTCGACCTAAATCCATTTAAAAAATAATGTTTAAACAAATTTAAACGTAAGGAGTATTTAGTTCATTTATTGTAATTTAGAACCAGTGCCAAAGTCCCATTGAAATTTCTTGTGAAGAAAATGCACTTCTCTGGAAGGTACTGCGGACACTTTAAAAAACTCTATTTTTTTACATGTACGCTACATTTACTTTGATTGTTATTTGCGTCATATTACAGCCTCCAGGCAATCGACTATGACAGCATTTTATAAATATTACCCTCGTTTAAGTACTGAAAAAGCAGCGTAAAACATGATTTAATTAAACATAATGCAAAAAATACTTTCAAGACTTTCTTCAAGGTAGAGTGGTGGTGAAGTTTGGTGAATGTGGTTTGTAGTCCTCCGAAGTCGATAGTTTCGACGGCCTTCTGGCTCGAAACTATCGACTGTTGCGAATGACCAATAACGTTCACGAAACTTCACCACCAACCTGCCTTGAAGAAGACTCTTTAAATACGGGTCGAAACTTCGATTGGTCAGTCACCAGACTAACTACCGTATTTTTTGCGCTGTGTATAATTAAACCGTGTTTTACGCTGTTTTTCAGCACGACCACCAACTCACGAACGAATTACTCTATCTTCGTTATTTAAGTAGCACGTATGTTTAATCGGTTTGTGACTAGTAGCCGGTTTCCTTGGTGATCTTGTTCAAGTAAGAGACTTTAAACTTTATCCAAGTTTGTCCCTTTTCGTTGGTACAACGTTTCTGATGGAGTGACGCTTTGTGAAATGGAAAATGCCACTACTGGTTTTACGCGAAGCAAACTCTGCCACTAATCCTCGTTCAGGATTCTTTATATGCACTAGCACCTTGCGTATCACGAGGAACAAATAATCGTTGGATGAACGTATTGTCACACTTGACGCGAACGCCTTTCATGTTGATGGGTGATGGGTGAATAGTCAGCCTTCCTTTGCCGGGTTCGATGGTCATCACAAAATCACCGACCGCGAATACATTGGTCAATATTTTAGCTGTTCGCGGTGCTACATACTGCCGAAAGCAAATAGGAAAGCAGTCGACTCTGAAGAAAGTCATTTTGACATTAAAACACAGGAACAAGTAGGGGTGCTCTTCTGCTACTGCTTCTGTTATGATTGCAGAAAATGGACGTCGCGTTGTCGTCGTTTCATCATTCGCCGTATGAATGAGTCGAAGAAATGCGCACAAGCCAACATTGCAATCCAGCAGGCCTGCGTAAACATTGCACTGCGTTCGTCAGGCGGCCTGGCGAGACTATGAGCTGCGACCAGACGTGGGTTAGACTACCTGATATACTGTTGATATGCTCGAAAATGCTCTTCACGGAAACAACGCCTTTTTGAAAAGCAACTAGTAAAGAACGGCCCTCAACTGAGGCTTACTCAAACATAAATCTTATTAAGTTTGGCGAAGTTGGTTAAACTGTGAATTTTGACATTGTTTCCATATCGCGAACTGCACAAATTTCTTTTTTGCTAATTTAATTGAACCTGAGAATCACGTATTATTTCTGTACAACCATACAGTAAGCTTTCAGTGTTTGCAGAAATGTATTTGTTGAAACAAAAACTATGCAACTGCAGGCTTAAAATAAGGTGAATATGTTCAAAAATCGAAAAATTTCTCTGAAATTTATGATTGATTTAAGGCCAATGTTTTATGCAAGAATTATGCAGAGAAGATTTTTTGATAATAACGAAAGGGCAAAGACACAACGACGGGGAGAATAAATCCATTCCTGCTGACATTTCGAACACGCCACTACGTTCGTCAGGTCATGAAATGAGAATCTAAGTCATGCGCTATGGCAACTATTCCAGTGCAAAGTATTGCATTATGCGTACACACATTAAAAATGCGTTTTAGACAACAGTGGGTTACATCGAAGCAGTCGATGTATCAAAATGGATGTATTAGATATTTCAGAAAATATATTACAGCTGTTGCATACTCTGTTTTGTTCAATACAACAATTTAATTTCGTCCTCCTACCCATGGTGACAGTTATAGTTTAAGGCATCGTTCTCAATTGCTAAATGCGTAGCATGGTTATTCGCGATGGCTTTTGTGTGTTTCGTTTGCTCACCTTACGAAACATTTCCGTCTATGCAGCGGTACAAAAAATGTAACTTATGGTATTATCAGTTTATTCGGTAGGATGAGGCTGAATTTTTGATACAGGGGGGGAACCTTGTGTATTGCCCTAACTAGAAATGATATCAAGCCCTTCATTTGCGAAAGGCGACGAATTTTCTTTCATATGTCCGGTAAAAACA